CCCAGGTGAGAGTCTTTCACCCTCCCCCTTATCCTGGAGAGCTCTCCCACCCCTTCATAGACTCATCCCCCCACAACTGCCCTGATTAGGCCTCAGTTGGAATATTGTGTCCAGTCCTGGGCACCGCATTTCAGGAGAAATTGGAGAAGGTCCAGAGAAGAGCAACAAAAATCATTAAAGGTCTAGAAAACATGAGCTATGACGCAAGGCTGAAAGGGATAGAAAATAAGACACGGAATATCTTACTGCCCCTGTATAAAATTATGGTACGCCCACATCTTGAATACTGTGTACCGATATGGTCTCCTCACCTCAAAAAAGATATTTTGGCCTTAGAAAGGGTTCAGAAAAGGGCAACTAAAATGATTAGGGGTTTGGAACAGGTCCCATATGAAGAGAGGTTAAAGCGACTGGGACTTTTCAGTTTAGAAAAGAGGAGACTGAGGGGGGATAGAGGTCTATAAAATCATGAGTTGTGTGGAGAGGGTGAATAAAGAGAAGTTATTTATTAGTTCCCATAATAGAAGAACTAGAGGACACCAAATGAAGTTAATGGGTAGCAGGTTTAAAACTAATAAAGAAAGTTCTTCTTCACACAGTGCGTACTCAACCTGTGGAACTCCTTGCCAGAGGAGGCTGTGAAGGCTAGGACTATAATAGAGTTTAAAGAGAAGCTAGTTAATTTCATGGAGGTTAGGTCCATAAAAGGCTATTAGCCAGGGGATAGAAATGGTGTCCCTGGCCTCTGTTTGTCAGAGGCTGGAGAAGGATGGTGGCCTCTGTTTGTCAGAGGCTGGAGAGGGATGGCAGGAGACAAATCGCTTGATCATTGTCTTCGGTTCACCCCCTCTGGGGCACATGGTGTTGGCCACTGTTGGCAGACAGGCTAGATGGACCTTTGGTCTGACCCAGTACAGCCATTCTTATGTTCTTATGTTATGAATTGCATCTGTTTAGTTTGGAAAAGAGAAGACTGAGAGGGGACATGAGAGCAGCTTTCAAGTATCTAGAAGGGCGTTACAAGGAGGAAGGAGAAAAATTGTTCTCCTCAGCCTCTGATGATAGGACAAGAAGCAATGGACTGAAATTGCAGCAAGGATGGTTTCTGACATGAGAGCAGCTTTCAAGTATCTAGAAGGGCGTTACAAGGAGGAAGGAGAAAAATTGTTCTCCTCTGCCTCTGATGATAGGACAAGAAGCAATGGGCTGAAATTGCAGCAAGGATGGTTTCTTAAAGTCCTTACTGTCAGGGTGGTTAAACACTGGAATAAATTGCCTAGGGAGGTTGTGGAATCGCCGTCACTGGAGATCATAGAATCATAGAATAATAGGACTGGAAGGGACCTCGAGAGGTCATCGAGTCCAGCCCCCCACCCTCAAGGCAGGACCAAGCTCCATCTGCACCATCCCTGACAGATGTCTATCTAACCTGTTCTTAATATTTAAGAGCAGGTTGGACAGACACCTGTCAGGGATGATCTAGCTAGATGGTGCCTGATCCTGCCATGAGGGCAGGGAACTGGACTCAATGACTTCTCAAGGTCCCTTCCAATTCTAGTGTTCTATGCTCCTATGATAACAGGGACAACATTTGTGGTGCTCAACATGCAACAGTGTTTTTTGGGGAGGGGGTCTGAGATCACTAGAGAGCCCACTAACTAAGGCATGAGCTATGAATCCTTAAACAGGGGCGAATACATTTTTTCACCATATGCATATTTACCATCCTCCAGTAGAGCAATCTGTGGCAATGTTAAAAGATTAGTGCTAGTTATTCTACAGCCGACAGCCCTTTGACTAATCCTGTTTTAAAGCTCATTAAAAAACCCACACCCACTCTTGTTTCAGGTTGTGAAAATGTCTACACAGCCAGGTCAGGAGGTAGTCACAGAAACCACCCAGGGTGAATCTACGCTGCACATGTAGCTCGAAATAAGCTACGCAAGTTAAGCTATGCAATTTGCATCAGTTCTTGCAAGTTAATTTCGGAATGGCTCATTTTGTCATTTGGTGCTCTGTACTCAGCGCCAAATTTTGAAATAAACCACTATTCTGAAATGTTCCTTAATCCACGTGGAATGAGGTTTACCAGTACATCAGAATAGTACGCCCGTTATATTTTGAAATAAAGGGCTTATTCAAAATACACGGAATAGCTATTTTAGGATACCAGAAGTATCCTCAGATATCACAGATTTCCCCTTCTACTTAAATTAGGATATAACTGTAGGTATCTGCTGGGAAATGATGTAGAAGGGAGATTCCTTTATTTCCACAGAGAAACACTAACTTTGCACTAGCTCAACCCTGATCGTTTTCAACCTGAAGACTTGTCAGAATGGAAGATGGACAGAATTCTTTGCTCACCTCTCTCATCCTCATTCAATTACAGGATTCCTCCTGGCTGTTTATCCTCAAGGAGTCTGTCAAATCTAATTTTAACATGACTCAAACAACAGAGCTTTTTCCATTTCCCATGGGAAACTATTTCTCAGCTTAATGGCCTAACCTCTCAGTTAAGAGCTTTTTCCTGATATCCGGCCTACACTTGCTAAATTTCCTCCCATCACTTCTAACACTAATCCTCAAGTCCTTCAGACACTCCACAGAATTATCACACTCCCTCTTTCATCATCATTTAGCCAGGCTGCATGTAAACAGCTTTTAAAATATTGCCTTATAAGTCAATTGATTCAAACTCACATCTGTGAGCGAAACACCTCTCAGAATCTGTTGCACCCAAATTTGCCCAGGAGACACCAAAGAGAATCCTAGTCGTGATTGTATACAATGGCATATAATTATTCATAGCTTTTAATAATAAGGAAATATTCTAATTACAGGAACAGTATTCCACAGTTCTATCTTTAGATGAGTCAAAATCACACCAGAAAATAGTTTTTAAAAATTTGTTGAAAAAATTAAAAGGTTTGGGATATTCTCATACACTACAAAGAAATTGTAAAATATATTTATTAAAAATTTCTGCTTAAAAACTCTAACAATGTCAGCATGTATCTATTTTAAGGATATTAAATTTAGATTAATCAACTAATTGAATAGTCAATGCAGGGGGACAGGAAAGCAACTAGTTGAGTCACTAATCGACTAGTTGCTTATCAGGTAGTCAACTAGTCGACTAGTCACTTACATCCCTAATCTATTTTACGGCTAGAAAAAATTAAGCTAAGAAAATGCCCTGAAATATTTGCCTGTTATTGATGGAGAGTATAAGACAGGAAGTAGAAATCATGCAGAGTTTGCCATTAAATAAATGTTTCACCTTGAAGTCAACCACATTTTAGCACTGGTAAAAGTGATTCTTGTAAACAGGGTATAGTTTGTAAAGTGCCCTGTGATACTTCATACTGAAAAGGTACTTTATGTTATTGTTCTATTTATATTACAGAAGCAGCTAGATTTCTTGAATGACATCAGCGCCACATAATGCTAGGTGCTGCTAGTCTGCCTCTAGGTCCTTCAGTCTCAATGGACAAGTCAGAAAAAGGATGGTAGAAACTAAAAAATTGTATGTCCCAATTTCATGGAAGAGCTGTAATATATAACATCTTATATTGTAATGTGTACATGAAGGCTAAAGGCTTGTCTACATTGGCACATTTTTGTCACCAAAAACTGCCTTTTGGTGACAAAGCAGTGAGAAGTGTTCACACTGCAATGTGACTTTTGTCAGGAAAAACACCCAGATTTGGCAACAAAAAACTTCCATCCCAGGGAGAGACTTTTGTCTTTTCCCCTCCCTTTATTGTCAACAAGAGCCAGTGTAGATTCGGCTGTTTGTTTTGTTGAGAGGACTGGCTACTGCCAGTATCCCACAATGCCTGCCCTGATGGCTCTGCTCAGTGTTTTGTGATCTCTGCTGCCTTGCAGGCCTGCGCCCCCTCTCCTTTCAACGCTCTGGGAAGTTTCTGATAGCGGAATGAGCTTCCCCGTTTGAGGAACAAACAAAGAGCAAATCATTGGAGTGCTCCCGTTCTGTTGCTGTGGGGGGAAGGCTGGAGAGATGCCTGTGCTGCTTGGACATTCCTCAGCATGGAGACCTTCCAGCGCTACGAGGGAATCCCAAGAAGCGCAGGGATCAGCTCTGCCTTCTCTCAACACTGCCTTGTGGGATGCTTACCCACAATGCTTTGGTCTAACTGTCAACAGGGAACTAGCCATGTGACATTGAAATGACAACAATGGGAGACAGAAAAACTGGTTTGATCGTTTTTCACTTTTGGCAACTTTCACATGCGACGGCACGTTTATCACCAAACCTTCCCAATGTAGATGTAGCCCGAGTAGATAAAAAAGAGCCACCCACAGGACAACACATCAAAGAATCATGCAGTGCTGTTAAACCCAGTACGTGACATTCGAAACCCCAGGTCTACACAGCTCAAGCACTGGGAAAGTTGGAGCATAGAGCTGAACATTGCAGGTTGTGCCCGACTCTACCAACAATGTCAGGGCATGTTTAGACTGCATCCCTCTGTCGGCAGCGGGGTGCAGATTAAGCAGGTTGACATTGCAAATGAGGCAGGGATTTAAATATCCCACACCTAATTTGCATAAATTGGCTGCCACGTTTTGCCAACTCAGCACTTTTTCGGCAACAAGCGGCAGTCTAGAGGGGGATCTGTTGAAAAAGAAAGCCTTTTTCGACAGATCCCTTATGCCTTCTGCAAGGAGGTTTACAGGATCTGTCAAAAAAGGCTTTCTTTCTCGACAGATCCCCCTTTAGACTGCCGCTTTTTGCCGACAAAGTGTTGAGTTGCCAAAACGCGGTGGCCATTTTTATGCAAATTAGGCACGGGATATTTAAATCCCTGCCTCATTTGCAGTGTCGACCTGCCTAATCTGCATCCCTCTGCCAACAGAGGGATGCAGTCTAGATATACCCTCAGTGTTTCTGGTCATCCCCTTGGCAGACAGAGCCTGTGGGAAGACTCCCATTGACTCTCAATGGGCATCCTTCAAGTTATATGTCCATTTACCTCTATTTGGTTGAGATACGACTTGTCAAACTTGAAGCCAGGGATTCTCTTGTCACTGCAGACTACGCCCACGTCTTCGGTGTGTTTGCAGTCTGAGACGCCCCAGCCGTTGCTGGTACACGCTGCCAGCGTCACCTCTTTGCCAGTACAGTGGACATTGTCCAACCAGATTGTGCCTGAGAATAGAAAGACCTGAGACATCAGTGGGCAAACAGCGGAGAGGAGAAACTAGATTCACTAATAATTGGTCTAAACCAGAGGTGGGCAAAGGGCCGCCCGCGAGCTGGATCCGGCCCACCAAGCCAGTGGATCTGGCCCATGGCCGTCCTGTCGCTCCTCCACCCTCAAACCAATCAGGGTCTGGGGGGAGGGGAGGGAACACATGAAGACTTCTCACCCCGTAGTGGCTAGAGCAGGCATGTCCAAAGTCCGGCCCGCGGGCCAATTGCGGCCCGTGTTCCGGTTTAATATGGCCCCCCAGGTAATTTGGCAATATCTATCTTTAATGGCCCCCAACAAATCCATATGTGTTGAGATGAATACATTGTAAAATCTCAGTTAATGTCAGTTGGTCTAAATCAGTTATAAATATATTTGGACACAACATGTATACTTGGTGTTATGTTCCTGTTCATATTTTTTGAACTTAAAAGTTGACAGACAACCTTTATTACCAATAATATGTAATGTACTTTACAATGTTCCTGACATATATTTCAGCTTCCTGGATTTTTTTTTCATCTGGCCTTCAGATATGAAAGGCAGAGTGATTTAACACCTGTTTAGATTTGTCATCCATGTGACAAAATGAAAAGTATGCAGTTTGCAATAAACTTTGCATAAAATAGTTAATTTGCATTTAATTTTAATGGTTCAAAGAATGTCAGGCAAAATGGTCGGCCCTCACGCATGTTCACTTTATCAAATCTGGCCCTCTTTGAAAAAAGTTGGGACACCCCTGGGCTAGAGAGACGTGCTGGCTGTTTTAAAACAGCCAGTGTGTCTCTCTAGGTTACGTGCGCTCTTGCGGGGCAAGAAGACTTCACACGCTCCCCCGCCACCAGGCCCTGGTCAGCCTGGGGGCAGGGAGAACATGCAAGGTCTCCTCCCGATCGGCACCAGAGGGAACGCCAGTTTCTCTCTAGGGGGCAGGGTGTGGGAGGGAGGGGGAGACTTCTCGCACTCCCCCACCCCAGGACAATTAGGGTGGGGAGGAGCACAAGAAGTCTCCTGCCCCCCCTTTCCGCCCGAGGCCTGCCCCTCCTTTTAAAAATTATTGCCCACCCCTGTGTTAAATCCTTATGAAACTTCCTTCTGGCGAGAACGCTGAGTTTTGATTGAATCCCGCTGTTCTTTTTTTTTAAAATGTGTGTTTTGGCCCAAATGTCAACAGATGCCTAATGACTTGGGAGGCCTGGAATTCCCGGTGCCCGTTTGAAACCCCTTAACGAGGCCCGACTCTCCGACAGCACTGAGCCCTCAATTTCTGAAAGATCTGGCCCCCTTAAGGCATCACCAGGCTGAACACCTAAAATCACAAGCCACAGCTCAACAGCCTGGCCATGCTCTCCCTGCACCCGATGAAGAGAGGAAAAGTCCCCAAGCGTATCACATGGAATCCACCCTCCCACAGTGCTTTTCCCCGGTGTCTCTAAGGGCCTGGGTCTCAGAAGCACTGACCCCTGGCTTCTCCAGGGCCTTTGAGGGGAATTGTGCACCTGTGAGGAAAAAAATCCAGCCCTGCGAGCTTAACGCGAGTGGCAGGCCACCCAGGGGCTGTCCCATATTAAGGACATAAGCGGGTCAGACCAAAGATCCAGCAAACCCAGTGGGAACTGGCTGGGCTGTGCCCGTGGGCATGAGCAGCCCGTGGTGCCCCCACTCCCATGCGGTGCGCGTCACACAGAGATGCACAAGGCCCCAGCAGCTGGCTGCTTTGAGCTCCATGCGGGGCATGGTAGGCATGGTCCTGCTTTAGGGTCCTACTGGCAGCTGGCCAGAAGCCACCTAGGAGAATTACCTCTTGGCCGGAGCCTGCACCTGGCACCTCTCCCTCCCTCTCCTCCCAACTCCCTGCCCCAGGTCACAACCCAGACCCTTTACACCACCTCCTGCACCCCGGGCTTTGGTCTCAGCTCCCTCCCAGATCCTGCACCCCCTCCAACACCCTGCCCCCCAGATCCCTGCCCCAAGTCACAAACCCCCTCCTCCACTCACTTCCTCCCCTGACCTCACACCCCCTGGTGTACCCCAATCCTCTACCCCGATCTCCTTTCTGCCCCCAACCTCCATCCCAACCTCTTGCCCCCTTCCAAAAATCTTGAAGTGCCCCCCATCCCGTTAAAAATAATTGTCCTAGGGCCCCAGGTTGGGACCCAGGCTTCAGCAATTCCCAGCCCCGGGCTACAAACAATGTAAAATCCTCATGCTAAAGCTTAACAGCCCTGAGATCTGAGAATCTGAGATTGGAGAGGATCCAGCGGAAGGCGACCAAAATGACGAGGGGGCTGGAGCACATGACTTATGAGGAGCAGCTGCGGGAGTTAGGTTGTTTAGTCTGCAGAAGAGAAGAGCGAGGGGGGATTTGAGAGCAGCCTTCAACTTCCTGAGAGGAGGTTTCAAAGAGGATGGAGAGAGGCTGTTCTCAGTGACAGATGGCAGAACAAGGAGCAATGGTCTCAAGCTCAGTGGGGAAGGTCTAGGTTGGATATTAGGAAAAACTATTTCCCTAGGCGGGTGGGGAAGCACTGGGATGGGTTCCCTAGGGAGGGGGTGGAGTCTCCATCCCTAGAGGTTTTTAATTCTCGACTTTACAGAGCCCTGGCTGGGATGATTTAGTTGGGATTGGTCCTGCCTTGGGCAGAGGGCTGGACTCGATGATGCCTGAGATCTCTTCTAGCTCTGTGATTCTATGAACTGCAGTTCTACTAACCCCAGCCTCAGCATAGGCACACCCTGAGCCCCCAGTGCCTTGTGCAGCTGCTTTAATACACTTGGCTGGTTGATTCACACATCCTGGATCCATCCGCCAGCCTCCCTCTCTCTCCCAGGGCAAGGCAAGCTCAGACCCCACATCACGTCAAAGCAGAAATTGCCCCAGTGAATCCCAGCTCCACAGCCCAGATGCCCTGCAGCGTGCCGAGAAAAAGCAGCCGCTCTCAGTGGATCAGAGTTTACTATTTTGTTTCAAATGTCATGGCCTCGCCCTTGGAAACCTCCTGCTGGCCAGTGGAAGCCAAGATCCACAGTGTAAGAGCAACACGGGAGGTTTCACATTTCTCTCAAGTCAGTTTGAAGCCTGGCTTGCTTTTTATGGGTAATTTTATAGGTGTGGGAGTTAAAAGAGGGTGTTAAACTATGGGCCAAATTCATCTCCACTGTAACAGCATGGAATGCATGGAGTTAGATCGAAGCAGGAACCTGGCTCTGTACCCCTCATGCTACCAATTATAAACATAGTTATTGAGGCTTATGGAGCTACAAGTCGAACCTCTCTAGTTCGGCTCCCGCTGACCCAGAGAATTTGCTGACCCATGGGAAGTCAGTATTGTCTAGCAGCGTTATCAGCACATACACTGCTTGCTGGGCTCTTAGAAGACATTTAGGAGTATATTAGAGCTAAATAACAACACTGAATACTGAGAGTCAGGCCTGGTGGCTTCAAACAAACTTTATGGGAGTGCCGGAAACTTGGCCATACCCATGCTAAGTGGACATCCGGCTAACTCAGATCATGCCGGATCACGGAGGTTGCTAAGCCAGAGCGTGCCGGACTAGAGAGGTTCAACTTGTATTCAACGCCCAAAATACCTTTAATAATCCATTCCTATGCATCACACACCAATAGTTGCCTGCCTAGATCTTAATGCAGTGCCTGTTTGGAAGCACCGATCTGAAGTGTGATGCCTTGTGTGTAACAGTCCATGTTACCTCTGTCACAGCCATGTGTCTGGAATATCAAGGAGGAGAGAAAATAAACACAGACAGTTTCATGTAAGGTTCAGTTGGATGAGAGCCCTTCCCCTTGCCAGAGCTAGTGTGTTTGGACGATTGCTGGACGATTGCTATTAAGTGGGTTTAATTACATAATTAGAAACACAGACTGGAGAGGGAGGGGCTCACAGCCTAGTCCAGAAGCCACTCAAGACAAACTGCTGCCCTCGGCAAAATTTCAGTCTGCTGCCGCCCTTCAGACAGTCCCTTACAGGCTCTCAAACTTCACTGCTCCACCCTCCCCTTCTGACACCAAAACGTAGGTGTCCTAGTGGACCACAAGCTAAGCATGAGTCAACAGTGTGACGCTGTTGCAAAAAAAGCAAACGTGACTCTGGGCTGCATGAACAGGAGTGTTGTGAGCAAGATACGAGAAGTCATTCTGCTCGACTCTGCTCTGCTGTGATCCAAGCTCCCTCCCAGACCCGGCTACTGCACACTACCAGCTCCGTAGCGTGAAACAGGAGCGGATTAAAGCACAGGAGTGAACTGTTAGCACGTGGCACCAGGGTCCACATGGACAATAAAGGTGACTCTGCTGTGATCCAAGCTCCCTCCCAGACCCGGCTACTGCACACTACCAGCTCCGTAGCGTGAAACAGGAGCGGATTAAAGCACAGTAGTGAACTGTTAGCACATGGCACCAGGGTCTACATGGACAATAAAGGTGAGTCTACACTGCACCCAAAGCTCGAAATACGTTATGCAATTTGAGTGACACAAATAGTGTAGCTTATTTCGAGTGTATTTCAAAATACACTCGAATTATGGTCTACACAGTGCCAAATTTTGAAATAGAGCGCTAGTCCGAAACATCCCTTAATCCTTGTAGAACGAGGTTTGCAGGGGCGCCGGAATAGCGAGCCTGTTATTTCAAAAGCTATTTCGAAATAACGGGCTTGTTTAAAAGACACGGAATAGCTATTTCGGGATACCAGAAGTATCCCGAAATAGCACCGCAGTGTAGACGTATCCTAAGTGTGCAAAAGGCCAGAGTGGAGCAACTTTACACCCCAACTGGCCATGAATGAAGCATTCACATAGACAAGTCCTTAAATTCATTTAATATTTCTTGGTCAGCAAGGCAAGATGGTCCAGTGGTTCAGGCACTGCCCTGAGACTAAAGTGATCCAGATTTAAGTCCCTGTTTGCTTGGGGTTTGTTTGTTTTTAATTTCCCTAGGGGTATGTCTACATTTGCAAAATAAAGAGTAATGTTAGTTCGAACCAGGGGGTTTGGTTCGAACTAACGCGTCCCGGCACACACTTTCACTTTCGAATTAGCTGTGATTCGAACTAGTGCGCTGGCGAGCTCATGCTAATGAAGCGCGGGATATTTAAATCCCCGCTTCATTAGCAATTTCGAGTGCCTGCATTTGTATCCCTAGTTCGAACTAGGGGGCAAGTATAGACATACCCTAGGAGGGTGGAGAAGCTCTGGGATAGGTTTCCTAGGAAGGGGGTGGAATCTCCATCCCTAGAGATGTTTAGGTTGCAACGTGACAAAGTCCTGGCTGGGTTGATTGAGTTGGGTTGGTCCTGCCTTGGGCAGGAGGTTGGACTTGATGACTCCTGAGATCTGCTCCAGCCCTAGGATTTACCACTGGAAGCCGCCCCACAACATGGGCCTGCACCGGGGGGGCCAAGAAGAGCGAAGTGAAAGTAAACACCAGCTGGGCCTTGGAGACCCAACCACGTTACCTTCTCCCTTTCCATACTTGGCGCCGGACACCCAGGACACGGCCTCCATGTAGCCCATCTCCTTGCAGGCCACGTTGGCGGCGTGGATGGAGAAGTCGTCGTCACACACCGTGCCCCACTCTCCGTTATAGAGCACCTCCAGCCGCCCTTCGTAAGTGAAAGTAAACACCAGCTGGGCCTTGGAGACCCAACCACGTTACCTTCTCCCTTTCCATACTTGGCGCCGGACACCCAGGACACGGCCTCCATGTAGCCCATCTCCTTGCAGGCCACGTTGGCGGCGTGGATGGAGAAGTCGTCGTCACACACCGTGCCCCACTCTCCGTTATAGAGCACCTCCAGCCGCCCTTCGTTGTGCTTCCGCTTGGGACTTTGGGGGGAAGCTGGGGGGCGTGGTATTCTGGCTGGGGTGGCTCAGGGTAGCCAGAATAATAGGGCCAGTATTCATACTGGGCTAGGCCCACGGGGCTCAGAGAAGTGATGAAGAACAGCACGAGGAAGCAGTGGTAATGGCTGACACCCAGAAATCTTCCCATTTTCAGCCCCTCTCCGAGCCAGCTCTTCTCTTTAACAGCTGGCGGTCAGTGCAGGTAGGATGCCGTGTGGGCTGGCTGAAAGGAAAGAAAACTCAGTGTCAGCGGTAAGACATCATGGGTGGTGAGTGAAACTAACCCCTTCTTCCCAGGCCCCGCCCCCCACAGGAGCCAAGCCACCTCCCTCACAGCACCATGGGGTGGAATGAGGGCACACGGACCCAGCATCCCTGCCCCAGAGTGTGGGGAAGGCAGGCACTTGGGGGTAGCAACACTCCGCCTCCAGTATGCCTTGCAAGAGGCTTTCTGGGGGTGGAGAGTGGTCAGGGCCAGGCTGGAGGTTTGGAAAGGCAACGCCTCCCCCTGCCCATCATACCCACCACCTATGTAAGGCATGATCACAATGGATATTTATATGTCCAAGTTGCTCCCTTCTGGTGTTTTGGGGAAGGCAGGCACTTGGGGGTAGCAACACTCCGCCTCCAGTATGCCTTGCAAGAGGCTTTCTGGGGGTGGAGAGTGGTCAGGGCCAGGCTGGAGGTTTGGAAAGGCAACGCCTCCCCCTGCCCATCATACCCACCACCTATGTAAGGCATGATCACAATGGATATTTATATGTCCAAGTTGCTCCCTTCTGGTGTTTTAGTGAAAAATATTTTTGGGGGGAAAAAACAGTCTTGGATTTGTTCCACGGTGCAATGGAAACAAATGTCAAAACCTCAGCACTGGGAGTGAAACTAAGTTCTTAACCTCTAGTCAGCTCCAATCTCAAAACAACTGTTAGCAGAGCTGCAATGAAAATGAGCCAAGCACACTAACCTATTCACTCCCCGAACAGCAGCCATACAAACAAAGCTACCTTAAAAATAAAAAGCTAAATTCACCCTTTACATGATGGAAAAATAGAGGGGAAGCGACAGAATAACGTGGTCAAGAGCGGCATATTTACATTCCAGTGTGAGTTTTCCTGATTCCCAATAATATTTCCATGACTGCACGTCTGGGTCCATTGATACAGAATGAGTATCCGCTGCCATGCGCGGGAATCATTTTTAATGTGTTTGAATGATATTCTCTGGCCTCCTGCTAATGTTAGAATTGAACTTCAGCCATCAGACAAGTCAGCTAGAGCAGTGGTTGGTTTTCAAAGTACAGGGCATGACCCAGTACTGGACCGTGGAATGCCAGGTGCTGGGTGGCTTTGCTGTAGGGCAGTGTTTCCGGATTTTATTTGGCCACGGAACCCATTTCAGCTTAAAATAATTTCAAGGAACCCCAAGGGTTCCCAGAGTAAAATCTGGCAAGCAAAAAAGAAAAAAAACCCCTACAAAATACTCCGTCGGGGCAATGCCACATTCTTGCGGAACTCTTACTTTCGCTTTGCGGAACCCTGGGGTTCCACGGAGCACCAATTGGGAAACCCTGCTGTAGGGAGATCTGGTGACTAGTGGGGGGTGTTAAGGCAGCTTCCTGCCCATCCTGGTGCCACGGACCTTGCTGCACCCCAGAAGTGACCAGCAATGGGTCCAGCTCCTAGGCAGGGGTCCACAGTGTTTCAAACACTGTCCTTTCCCTGAGCACCAGCTCCACATTCCCATTGGCTGGTTTCCAGCCAATGGGAGCTGGGGAGGACGGTGCCCACGTGTGAAAGCAGCGGGCACAGCCACTTGCGTCCCTCTGCCCAGGACTTAGACCTGCTATTGGCTGCTTCCAGGGCACAGCACGGTCTGAGGTGCCAGGACCGGCGGGAAGCCGTCTCAGAATCCCCACTGCTCTGCTGACTGAGTGGCTGGAGGGGAGCCCATGCCCAACCTGGAACCCCAATGCCCTGCCCCCAACCCTGAGCCCCCTCCTGCATCCAAACCCCTCATTCCTGGCCCCCCCGTGAAGCTCGTCCTCGAAATAAAAAATTTCTTCAATTGGGTCGTGAGGAAAAAAAGTCTGAAAACTGCTGCACTGGATCGAAGTCCAGTGGTCGAACTACTTCAGCTCACGCGGAGAGAGTGAAGCTGCCGATATTGTTCACTGAAGGTAGGAAGAGCTATTTCCCGTTTAATGAAAGAAACATGAGCCAGGCATGGTGGTGAACCAAATGTCAGCTCATTTCCTGCCCCAGCCCGCCGCTATTCCACATTGTCATTCATGCAACCCGCACGTGGAGCAGTCTGGGAATACACGGGGAGGCGCGCGGCTGAATAGTTTCCAAATGAAGCAATGCCAGAGAGCAGTGGGAAAAAGCTCCCCAAAGCAGCAGCATTCCCTGACAGCCGCCAAAACACAGGGAAGGAGAGTCACCAATACAGACAGCTAGCACGGGGGTTGGGCCAGTCTATGCAAGGTCTGTGTGGTCCCAAAAGATGGCAAAGAGGCCTAGGCACAGGGAAAGTTGGATCAAGTCATAGAAAGGGACAGATGAACGCACAAGGCTCGGAGCAAAAGTATTACTCTTTGTCTTCACCATCCTGTTGTGCTTTAATTTCTTCAGATAATTCAGTAGGAAAAGCAAACATATTATTGGCCACTGCAAAATCCTGCTACAAACTCTACCGAGCTCATTGGCTGTCATCAGGAATCCCTTTTAAAAAGTTGCTGGTCATACAAACAGGAAAGTGGCTCATACATGACCAGAAATATCTGCGTCTGCTTGCTGCAAATATACCACCTTTCCTCTGGAATAATACGGATACTACTACTAATAATCATCAATTATTTCAATAGCCACCTTAAATCAAATTAGAGTCCCTTTGTATTCAAGGGCTACATGTACATTGCATGCTTATTTCAAAATAAGCTATTCCGGAATAGTTATTCTGAAACAGCTTCTTTTGAAATAGCACGTCTACACTGCAGGGAAGACTCAAAATTAGTCCGAGGCAGGTTTCCCTAATGTAGTCATAAGAACATAAGAACGGCCATACTGGGTCAGACCAAAGGTCCATCTAGCCCAGTATCCTGTCTGCCGACAGTGGCCAGCACCAGGTGCCCCAGAGAGGGTGGACCGAAGACAATGATCAAGTGATTTGTCTCCTGCCATCCCTCTCCAGCCTCTGACAGACAGAGGCCAAGGAAACCCTTTTATGGACCTAACCTCCATGAAATTATCTAGCTTCTCTTTAAACTCTATTATAGTCCTAGCCTTCACAGCCTCCTCTGGCAAGGAGTTCCACAGGTTGACTACATGCTGTGTGAAGAACTTTCTTTTATTAGTTTTAAACCTGCTACCCATTAATTTCATTTGGTGTCCTCTAGTTCGTCTATTATGGGAACTAATAAATAACTTTTCTTTATCCTCCCTCTCCACACCACTCATGATTTTATAGACCTCTATCATATCCCCCCCTCAGTCTCCTCTTTTCCAAACTGAAAAGTCCCAGTCACTTTAACCCTCCCCTCATATGGGACCCGTTCCAAACCCCTAATCAATTTAGTTGTCCTTTTATGAACCCTTTCCAAAGCCAAAATATCTTTTTTGAGGTGAGGAGACCACATCTGTACACAGGATTCAAGATGTCTACTATCTCGATTTAAAGCCCCAGGAGGCACTGAGGAGGAATAACTTAACATAGAAGGGTTTTGGATTGGACTACCGTGTCTACATGTGGCGAGTTAATTCGGGCTACCGGCTTTTTAAAATGGCGACCGTCCACGAATATGCTAATCAAGCGCGGGATATTTCAATCCCGCACTTCATTAGCAACTTCGGTATGCTTCATTTGCCTCCCTAGTTCGAACTAGGGGGCAAGTGTGGACATATCCTAAGGGGGCAAGTGTGGATATACCCTAAGGTTCCACCGGATTCCTTGTTGTTTCTGCTGAAACCGACTAACCCGGCTACCTCTGGCAAGAGATCGTGCAGTTCTCCGGCACAAGCACCATCTGACTTCACTTGTCTTGGGATCTCGCTTGGCAAGGAGCAGAGAACCATCACATAATTACAAAAAGCTTTCTGGCTTCCGCTCCACATTCATGTGTTAGGTAACTATAAAAAAAAAACCCCGACTCAATGAAACATGTATCCACAGACACCAGACAGAGCCCAGCACTCTGCCAGAAGAGAGCAGCTAGTGGGATAAATGTATTTACAACAGACAACTTTTAACAACCAACAAGAAAGAAGCCTGGGTTGTTCTCTCACTCGGCCTTAGACTCCAGATCAGAAAAAAGAAGCTCTGGTGGTTAAAAATGCTGATTTAAAAGTGCAATAGGCCTAGCCAGCCGACTCACCAACCTCTACTCTCCAGGGAAATTCTATTGGTCCATGAATCCACACTGTACCAGCACGCCCTTCAGATATGCTGTGATAGCCACTGCTATGTGCCTCCAAAATTACCTACCTGAAGAGCCTGAACAAGGGGGAAGGTGGGGTGAGAAGCACAGGATATCAAAACTCACTCAGACACTGCGTGGGAATAGTAACATTCATAGAACAAAAATGACAAGGAGTCCTGTAGCACCTTATAGACCAGGGGTTCCCAACCTGGGGTACACGTACCCCCAGGGGGTATGAGAAGCTTGTCAAGGGCGTATGGGGAATATTTGGTAAATAACTAGATTATTCTAATTGCAATATTCCAAAAGTAGTAGGCTGCATCTAGAATGGCATGATTTTGCGCAAATACTTTTAACGGAAAAGTTTTTCCGTTAAAAGTAGTTGCGCAAAAGAGCATCTACACTGGCACGGATGCTTTTGCGTAAAAGACATTTTTTTGCGCAAAAGCATCTGTGCCAGTCTAGACGCTCTCTTGTGTAAGAAAGCTCCAATGGCCATTTTAGCGCAAGAGGGATTATCCCTGAGCGGGAGCATCAGAGTATTTGCACAAGAATCATTGATTTCATACATTAGAACGTCAGTGTTCTTGCGCAAATTCTCGTGGCCAGTGTAGACAGGCGGCAAGTTTTTGCGTAAAAGCAACTGCTTTTGCGCAAAATCTTGCCAGTCTAGATGCACCCGTAGCGTTAGTGAAAAAAGTTGTGGATTCTAGAGTCTAGAATTGATTTCCTTTCATTTTGAATAGGGGGTACAGAAAGGTTTACTAAAAGCCAAGGGAGAATAGGGACTGAAAAAGGTTGGGAACTCC